TCAACTCCCAGAATTCCCCAGCCAGCCATGCTGGCTGGGGAATTCTGGGAGTTGAAGACCACACATCTTAAAGGTACCAAGGTTGAGAAACACTGCCCTTAGATATTAGATTTTTTTCCAGGAGAAAACTTTTCTGCAGCACTCAATTATACTGTAGTTCCCCAGTATCTATAAAGTATGGAACAGAGCAGTAACAGATATACGTGAAAAAAGAAATGCAATTGTCCCATCAAGACCTCTAGATATTTTTATCAGGTTTGTGCCTTACACTATAGGCAACACAGAACCTATCAGCGCCAGCCCAAACTGGTGTCCTTCAAAGGGGAAAAACACCTCCACTTCCCAGGCAGCAAACCCATTTTTGCCTCTATTATCTCTGTTAGCCCCACTGTGTAACAGAGAAGACAACTGTGGTTGCACCAGGAGATGATGCTGAAGAAAAGGTGGGTCACACCAGTCAACTGTCAAGGTGTTTTGGAGTTTGTTTTGCAAATTGAAGAAAAAGGCAGGAACAAACAGAGAATGAAGTGATGAAGGAGCAGAAAGGAGGTGGTCTCTGGGATTGAAGCTAAAATAAAAGAAGGACCTGGAATCAGAACAGGTGAAGATGGTGCCAGTATGGAATTTCTGCACAGACTTTGTCCAGATTCAACTTGATGGGCCAACTAGAGGACAGGAGCAAGCAGGCCTCCATTACACAGAAAACAACATGGGAATTTAAGGCTCTGCAGAGGGTTTTTTGAAGTAGCTTAACTCTGTGATTTCTTTGCCATCAGAAAAAAAAGGGGTCACACAAAACAGGCTATTCTATACGAGGAGCTTCTTTAGCATAATTTACTTTTTGCGTGAGCTGCAGAAACAACTACTTCATTAGTACAGGTCCCCTAGCTGAAAGACATATTTGGGACTTGGAAAACCTATCTGTGGCTGCTCTCGCAAAATGGCCAATGGCGGGGGTGGGTAAGGATTTGTCAGTGTTTTCTACCATCCGTCTCCTTCCCTCCTAGAGATGTTGACCACACTCAATGTTGTTGTTCTTTTCTAGGCAATTTGGTGCAGTTGCTAACACTGCTGCCCTTCCTCATCTCTATCTTCTAAGAAATCTCAAGGGGCTGATTTGGGCTCTGAAGGCATTCTTGGCAATCCAATCATGACGGAGGGCTGGGACTTTGCTTTGCAATATGACCTTTTTCTTATTTAATGAAAATCCTAAGAAACAGCTCAATCACATTCTGGAAGGGCTGACATCATTCTTAACATCCTTCTTTTTCTTCAAAACTTCCCCCAAGCTGGCGTCTGAAATTTGGCACAGGGTGCCCTGGAGAAAGGGTCATCATTACTACACATTCCATTATATTTGTCCGCCAAAAACTAAGTTACAGGCATATAGCCATCTTCCTTTTGCTTACTATGTTTCTATTCTTCCAGTGTAGTGGAAGTTCACAGATGGTGAGGTTGCAAAAGAGGAGGGGAGCTTTGGAAAACAGGGCAAAACATCTGGAGATCCTTCACTTCCCAGGACAATGATGAACATCCCCTGCTCATCAAAGAGTGGTTACCAAGAGAAGGAAAAAAGCCCCATCCCAGTGAATTTAGAGATCAGCGGGGTCCCACAAGACCCATCTTTGGGGGGAGATAACCAAATCAAAACAAACGTTCCCTTTCAATAAAGCAATTAAAGAAATCTCTGTGGGAATCTTGCTGTGGGCATAACTGGCTGCCAATCAAAGGCGCTCATCTCCCACCCTGATTTCCCCTCCAGAACCCTAGGAGATGAGCTGCAAGCAGGACCAGCCTGGTGAACTTCATAGTTAAACTGTGCCATGAACTTGGCCCACCCACCACACCCTCTGCCATTCTGGCTGCCTCGCACCTAAGCGCAGAAAAGGGGGACCCAAACCCTATCGTCAGCCCTGAAGGTTAATCTGAGGCGTCCCAGGAGGGGAAGGAAAACATTCCATCCTTTTTGCAAACAACGTCAAGAAATCAATTACCGCGTATCCGATGGCAGGCAGGGCTGTCCTATCCCAGTTTGGAGGATACGTTGGTGCTGTCACGGGAGTCGTCGCTGGAACAGCCGTTGCTGTGTGTCTGGGTACAAGCAAAAGAAAGAGTGTGAGGGAGAACAGTAATCTGCTCCATTTAGTTCTCCCTAGAAGAACCACTCTGGGAAAAAGTAGATGAAACCGTCAAAAAAATCAGGCTCCAGACAGGTTATTTATCATCAGCACTGAGAGACTTGGGCCCTCTTTCGTGAGGAATCTGCAAAGAGCCAAGGAGGCAAGGAAGTGTTTTGAGAGAGAGGATGATATGAAACAGGCTGACGTGACCCATGGATCAGAAAATCTGCTGGGCTACTGTCCGCAAGACTCCTCCCTATGCATTTTCTTTGTCTCCTGCTTTGCAGAGAGCTTCAGAGGGTTCCCTCCCAACTGGAAGATCAGGCACAGAAAAGAGTATCTGTCCTTAAGTGCCAACAAGCGTGAAATAATGAAACTTGGGGGAGGGGGGAATCCTATTTCAATATCCAACGACCGTGTTCTTACTAAATGATAAACCGATCTGATTATATTCTTGTTTGTCAAGATGAAGTTCAGGTTTTGTTTTAACTGTATGTATTGTACACACTGAAGAGCAGTTCAACTGTTTTTACAATAACCAGCGATCAAAACGTCACTGGAAGTCAGGCCACAGCAAAATCACCCACAGCCACAATTTTCTTCTAGCCTTCTCTCTCTCCCCCACAAATGCTTTTTGGGTTATCTGCTTTTTTTCCAACTACAGGTCGTTTCTGGGCCCCTTCCCCAAGCTCTTCATTTTAGAGATACCTCAAGCTATTCAAGTGCTTTGACACGAGACGTGGTTACCGTATCATTTCTGAACAGGTCTTTTTGCAATGAGCAAGAGGTGATTTTAAGCCCTCTGCCACGGTTTTAGATATAGCAGCTAGCACAGCAAGAACGAACAACCCAGGAACTTTTGCCAGAAGCAGAGAAAAGCCTAACTGTAAGTCTAACTTACGAAACTGGTGCCCAGTACAAGCCATGATGTCGTCAAAATGGCAATGCATTTGAGATGACTTCGTGCAAATGACGCACATCATTTTGCATCGCCAACTGGTGCAGCTACATTATTTGCATCATTTGCACAATGAAATCACATTGTGTCATCTCAGTTGTCTAGGGTTATATCCTCTTTTTTGGAACTTTGTATCCCCATTCCTACAGGTCTCAGACTCTGAGAAGGCAATGGTGGTTATCAGCCAGATTGCAACGGGCAGGCAGGAAAACTTGGCTTGCTCAGGCCTGTCCCATGTGAACATTTGGCCGTTATGCTGCCCAACAGTTTGAGAACTCAAGCAAACCATCACCTGATATTGGAGTCAGGAATTATTCGTACCACACACACTCCATAGGAAGTAGATCTGGGTAGATTCAGGTTGGTCAGTCTCAATGCAGTCAAAACAAGCCACTCTACATGGCAGAATCTTAAGGGAAGGGTGACGTGACTTGATTGCCCCTAATCTCTCCAAAATGGTGAAAACGTTTGTAACAGGACTCCACCTGTCCTCAGACTTAACGTTTTTTCAAGAAATTGGAAAAAGAAGGGACAAAGCAAACAGAAGCATGGGGTCTTAAGTTACATTATGACATCCCACACACACACACTTTACCCTTTCTTTGTCCTGACATCTTCAGTGGAGACAAATTTGGGACGCCTTCGGACCTCTCGCTGGGTAGTATACTTCAAACTTTTCTGGGTCATATCTTGAAAAAGAAGATGGAATGCTTTTAGATTAAAAAAGAAAATCCAAAAGTCACTGATTATGCCTAGAGAAAAGAGACAGAGAGAATGGGGTGATTGTCACCCCCAAATCTGATTTGAATGACATGCTCTTCCTCTCAAAGAGCCAAGTAGCATCTTGGGCCCTGCACAGCCTTGCAAGCTCCAAAGTCCCATTTTTGGCCTCCAGAACTTTCTTGGAGGGAGCAGTGCTAACAGCTTCATTCTTTCTTCTGTGCTGGAGGGGTAAGATGATGGGAGAAATGGGGACCTTAAATGTTGCAGGGGATTAAGGCACTCATTTCATCCCCCCATAGTGGAGGGATTTTAGTCTTCATCTCCCTCTTCCCTATGCAAAAGAAGACCAATAATTCTGGCTCTTCCCACTTGGCCAACAGAATCATCAGAAAACAGTTGTGCCCCAGGAGGCACTAAGCAAATTATAGCTCCCAGGCCAAAAATGGATTGCTCACCTTGTTCAAAGGGAATTTAAGAGCAGAGCAGCAATCATAAAAGTCCTCTGTGCATAGCCAGCTTACAAAAACAACTTCCAATTAATGCTGAGATTGTGTCAGGGGGAACCAGACTTCTGTTAGTTTTGAACACACAGTACTGTACCTGTTGAAGTGGGATTCCTTACCTTTAAAGTTCAGCAAATATTTCTGAGAGCCCACTTCAAAGCTGATACTTCCACTTGGATCTGCTAGGAAAATGTTCTCCAGATCATCCGAAGTTAGATTGGCCTGCTGGAGGTGCCTATCCTATAGAGAAGAAATATGTCATTTGTTGTCAGAGGATAAGGACCAGCTGTTCCCCTCTCCATGCGCCTTCTTGAATGAAATACTTATACAAGACTACAGACAGACTTTTCTGGGTTCACAACATATTTAGAAGAGATATTCTTGAACAACAGAGAAATCCATTGACGCGTTACTAATGCCCAATCTGAATTTTGTTTCATCAATGAGCTTCACTCATTCAGTGAATAACAGACTCAGTCTGTTACTCTCTCTCCAAGGTAAACAGGAGTTTTAGCCCCACAGCTACCATCTATAGTTGATTACTCTACATCAGTGTTTTTCAACCTTGGGAACTTTAAGATGGGTGGACTTCAACTCCCAGAATTCCCCA